TGTCCACATGAGGTAACACACTAATTAAACACTATTGACATTTTATTCAGATTATTAGTAGACTGATATATTAAGAATGATTGTTTTTTTAACTAACAGGTGAAGATTTTAATGCAGCAGTGTTGGGCTGCAGACTCAGCCCAACGGCCATCATTCGAAACCCTCATCGAAAAGTTTGAGGCCATTCGCCAAACATACAGGCTCTCCAATATAAAGTTTTCCTCGGCTCAGATTAGCTGAACAGGACTGTGAAGAACCAGCTTGTCCACATGGCATCCCTTTGCCACCATAGCCACATTACAGGCTAACCAGTTGTGTTTCCGCTGTGCAATGCCTGCTGCCTTCATTTACATAGATATCTTTACATTTATTTTTTGATAAAAGCAAACAGCTATCCTCTCATATGTGACCAAGCGGTACAAGTGTGTTTATTTTCCTGTCATTTGAGTTAACTTTAATCTTTCCTTCTCTTACAATAATAATATGTTTGCATATATCACAGTAAGTATTAAGAATTCCTGTAAGGTTGTGAGATTTCTCTTTCATTTGATGTTTTTTAAATGTTTTGTCTATGTTTAAACTTTTGTTTCATTATGTATAAACTAAAAGAACAAATTCGAAATATAATACACACTTCTTTTCATGACAGTCTATTAAAAACTGAAACTTATTTATCAAAAAGTGTAAATGAATGCTTTACAGCTACATATCTGTTACATGAAAAGTCATTATTATTATTAGTCCTATAATCATGGGCGTAATTTCCACTGGGGACAGGGGGGACATGTCCCCCCCACTTTTCAAAATCCCATTTGTGTCCCCCCCACTTTTTAAATGTGTTTATTATTTATTTTTTATGCCAGCGGTCATCGTCACGGAGGAGCGTCTGTGTGTGTGTGGCACGAGCGCATCTTGTGTGAGAGAGAGAGAGAGAGAGAGAGAGAGAGAGAGATAGAAAGAGAGAGAGACATAGAGAGAGACATAGAGAGTTACGGGGGTTGTTGTTAGCATCTGGTGCTAGCTCGGAGCTAACGGATGTCACTGTCACTACCCGATCTACAGTGCGCATGTGCGAGATGGTCCGCCATATTGGAGAACTCCGGACGGCATCCCAAGAAGGACAATTGACACAGTGGCTTTTGGCAAAGCTGAAAAATAAAACTTGAGAGGGATGAGTTATTCTTATTACAACGTGACTTCACTATTATTTAACAACTCTTTTTATTGGGTTCTTTTATTTGGGGTTAAGTACATTGTCAGAATAAGTGAGAAATTAATTTAACTTCTGTTAAGCCATATGCCATACATTTTTGCATACATTCACAGTAAATATTTATTCAGTATGATAGCTGTCTAACAGAAGTTAAATTAACATTAATCAACAATAAGGAGAGGGAGAGCTTTTTCCTGTAAAGGACTCTGAGCGATTAGATTGTAAACTTTAGTCTAAGTTATCTCAGTGGGTCTCAAACGGTTTGGTCATAAACAAATATTTCCATCTATGTAATATTGGTTGTATATAAAATAAGTTAAGAAATCCTTCCAATGTGTACTATAGGTTAGTAAAACATTTTTTATTTGATTAGTCAAATATGCATAAATAAAAATAAAGAATGCAGACTAGGTAAGATAAAGATAGGAGAGGAGTTTATCAATGATTTGTTATTGGTTGTGAGCATATTCTAATGGTTTTTTGATTATTGAAATATATACAGTTCTGTTTCATATGAGTGTTGAGAGCCGTATCCATACATCTCTTAATGTTGCCCTCAAAGTGCACCAGATTGATGCATTCAACTTCAATTTAAAGAAAAAAATCTTCCCGGGGGAGCATACCCCCGGACCCCCCTAGAGGATGTGAGGTCATCACAAATAAAACAGGTTCACATGGATAGGATACTAGATAAGTGTGCACACTCATTATATACACTACACATTTCTCTTGGATTTGTTAACACTATAGTCCCTAGTATATTTGTAGAAAGACAGGAAATGGAATTAAATTGAGAAAATGTTTCATTGCGGATGACCCCCTGTTTTGTGTCCCCCCCACTTCTCAAACCAAAGTTACACCCTTGCCTATAATTAACTTTTATATTCGAGACAGATAACTGACCCGGGAAATATCCTGTATTATGTTCACTTTTTAAATGCATCCAATACCGTTTGCTGAACCAGACCAGTCAATCTGTTGGCAATCCTGCACCTGTGATCTTGCTGCACAGCGACACAAAAAATCAACAGGAATAATGCTACTCTGACATTGGACGATTTTTTTACTGATGTACTCGATAGCTACATAGAATTGTTGGTATGAGCTGGCCAAATGATCCATGACAGATGCACGCAGCTGTCCTGGCATGCAGAAATGTTTGGATCTGGACAGACACATATCCAATACAAATGAAAAGTTACAAAGGTTCTCTGTTTTGCCATTGGCATCCAACTTTCTAAAAGCGGAAATAAAGAGCAGAAAAGACCAAAGGCTAGTATGCGTAATGTATATTGTCTAGTACTGTAAGTAATATTCCATAATGTACACACCATCAGCTGACACTCTGCATGCCATGGTACATGCATAGTCTTCCAATTAAAAAATGTTGTGATAGGATTAAATAAACATTTTGCAATTTAGACTTATTTTACACATTTTTAATTGTACAGTATGTCCAATGTAGTGAACCTGAAGACCTTTTTGGTGAAAAGTCAGCCAAAAGATAAACATGTAACATATTATGCCTATAGATTGATATTAATACAGGAATACATTCACATAATTGATCTGAACATTGCTGTATCAGGGTGTCCGCGGGGTCTTAAAAAGTATTAAAAGTTGATAAATCAATTTAGCGAAAATGAAGGCTATTAAAAAGTATTAAATGGCATTTTCCAAGGTATTACATTTTGTAGCTAGTTTTCAATAAGTATATCAATTCTCCAAAGAGGTTGTATTCTACAGTTTGCCTGAATGTAATCATTGCGTAGGTGTGTAGTGTGATTCTGTGTAGTTTATTTATGGCATCCCGTTGGATTTGACATCATCTGAACAGGACATCGCACGCTCACTGCTTGATAGTAAGCGAAGGTCCGTTTATGCCGGTTGTTGAACAACATTGTTATAGGGAAATGCAAGTTTGCATCTCTTGGGAACAATGCCTAAATCAAATACTACCTTCTAATGGTTTATTTTTCTAATAAACCTTGCATTGGGTTGGTCACACAATTAATTCTCTTGTGCTTTGTTCTATCTGAATTATGATAAGGAGTTATCACAAGCTGTTTAGTTGTGCTATCTTACAATCAATACTGTATAGTAAATGTGAGGTAAAGTGTGTCGCCAATGTAACCGTTTGGAAATCAAAGTGGCGATGAGGTCTTAAAATGTATGGAAAGGGTCTTAAAAAAGGTCTTAAAATGTATTATATTTGACTTCAGGATTCCTGCATATACCCTGTGTATAGTTGGACACTAAACTAGTTTGGTTTTTGTTGTCAATGTACTGGGAAAAGCACTCAATTGGATTCCAGTCTGCACGGGGTGTAGGGTCATCTTGACTTGTTTCATGGATGTGGTCTCCAATTGACCATACTCATAGGAACAAACTTTGAATTCCTGAGGCAATTCTAATTTTTCATGGCACCACTTAAATAAAAAAGCAATAAAACAGACTTGCTACCCTTGGCCCACAGAGGGATATGTCTTTCCTGCTCATCCCTATCTGTCTCTATGTCTGTATCTGTCTGCTCATCTGAGCCTCCAGCAACTTTTCCCTCTTCTTCTTCACCCTCCACTATCCCAGGTGTGAAATCCTCATCTCTCATCATCTGAGAGCTCAAAATCTGAATCTCCCTCAACTATCTCGTACAGTATATGTCTGCTTCAGTTCTGTTTCCTGCAACAGCAAGTCATTAAGTACATGAAGATGGTCCTGATTTCCACTAGAACTGACATTTATAAAAGAGCTGTTATTTCAATAACATACACTATCTGACATACACGTCCTCCTCAACATGTTGTTGTTGGTATGCCTGCCATTTTGGATGAAAATAAAGAGGAACCTCCCAGCATTTAATTGTAACCAATGACATATCACTGGAAAGCCCAAGATGTCCTCTGTACAATGAAGCAGGGATTGGTAGAGTAGCTCTAAACAGTAAAAGGATATGCATGAGAACAACATGTCCACTACAGAGGACAATGGGCTGGGTCTCTGGGATGTGAGACCATAAGACTGACTGTTTGTTACAAGCCAATCAACCCACTACCAGGGGACATCAAGAAAATATAGAATAATATGAATCAGCACATGTTTACTTTAAATACAAAAAACAATATAGTAAGCATATAATTCAAAGCAGACAGTAAACTGCAACAACATGAAAGGTATCCATATGGCTGTACGTGTTTATTAAGTTTTTGTTTTAATTCAAGTTTCATTATATTAGGCCTATATTATGTTCTTTGACACTTATAAATCTCCTGATGTAAGACTGTTAAAGAAGGATTTTAAGATCTTTATAGTCCAAAGTTTTATATCTGATGAATTATTGACATGCAAGACTGCTTATAAAAAGTAAACGTGTCATACACAGAGGTAGGTTCAATGTGCTGTGAAGATAAGTTAAAACAATACCATTTAAAGGCAATACAATATATATATATATATATATAAAGTATAATAATAATTATTATTATTACTAATATTTAAGGTCATGGTTTTGTAATCTATATCCTAAACTGGAATGATTGGCGCATCCCTTTGGACATAAATGGGTAGTTTTAAAAAAAAAAGGTGAATCCCTAAAGCCGTTTAAAGCCCACTGGCTTGTCTCTACTGAGAACTGCAGGATCTGCAGCATTCATGTCCAGTTTGAGTTAACGTGGCCCCGCCCCCTACCTCAGTTACGTCGTAGTCATGGAGAATGCGTCCTCCTCTCGTCCAATGAGAAGCGGCGCTGGGGCCATGTGTGTATTGTTTAAACTGCTCAAATCGGGCTGAGTTTTCAGACCGACAAAAACTTCCACCAAACAGAGTGATGGCGGCCGTTGTGTCTGTTAGAACAGCTGCCAGAGATGAGAGCACAGACACAGGTCTCAGTTTCGCCTCTCGTCCGCTTCACGATAACTACGACCTCCCTGTGGATGCGGGTCACGAAAGCTGGATGTCCGGAGGAGACCACCGGTATCATGAACCCGGCGGAGAGGACTCACCGTCGGACCGCGACTGTCAGCGGAGGGTCGACGAGGACCTGACATCACTGAGCCCCGAAGAGATAGAGAGCCGCTTAGAGAGAACTCGCCGGGAGTTTTACAACCGTAGAAAAATAATAATAAAGAATCTACCCTCCGACGTTAGCAATCAGGTAAGAGAAAAAAGTCCTGGAGGTTTCACTTATTGGATGATTGATTGCTAACGTTAGCCTAGCTCCAAATTGCTTTGCCATGCTACCTATCTTAGCCGAGTAGCCATTTAACTCGTTAGCTGATTTTAGGTTTGAATAGTGCGATATTTTTGTTTTAATGAATATGCAATTGGTTTAATTTAAAGGGAACACACCATAGCTGTTATTTGGTAGCCACATAGTATCATTATTGTTTTAATTCGGGGTTTGGGTTGTTAGGATTTCTGCCAGGTGGTCAGATAACTGTCAATAATGGTCATCTGTGGCCTGCATGACCTGCCACTCCTGCCTCGTAGGCAACAACTTGATAACTTTTTATATTTGGATTTTATTTTTACTATTTTAAACACCAAATCAAAACTGTCGTTGATTATCCTCCCCCACATGGCGGTTACAGGTGCAGTGGGACTTTATTCATCAGCCCATCTGTTGTTTAAGCTGGCGTTTGGTTGTATCGACCAGCCAGTGACTTACTCATGATGCCACATTTTTTTGGAACGTGCCTGACTCGTGGGGAGCGGTGAGCCTGCGGGCGGAACCATTGTTCACAGAGAGAGAGGGGGGGGGGGGGAGAGCAGTGGGAGTTCGAGATGTGAGTTGCAATATAACAAAAGGTGGAAGGTGTAGAGACAAAACGTTTCAGAAAATGCTAGATAGAATCGCCATTCGTTTGTGAATGGTCAAAAGCAGCGCAGAACAATTTATCATAGAACAATGACCTTTGACCCCTCCACAGGTGCAACTTGTTGCTAGTTTCCAAGTGACATGAATGAGTTAATTATGTGAATACCTACAGTTAAAGTGGACCGATCATGCTATATTTGAAACATATATTGTAGGGCCATACCTATATAAATATATATATTTTTTTCAAAATACCAAACAGATCCTGCATTTTAGCCATGCCTCATTTCGCTCTATTTGCTCTTTCCAGCCCTGTTTTTACAGGGGGCTGATTCTGTGAGCTGCAACTGACCCCTGCAGGAGAGGGGAGTTGGCAGTTACTTTGGCATTAGGGCAGGGATATCTAGATACTTTCCAAGGTTTGACATAATGAATTGTGCTACTTTTAAAGCAAGCAACGATGTTTTCAAATCTGTAATCAAAAAGCTCCTCAACAACACTATCGAAGCAGTTCCTGCCGTTGCTACGTTAGTTCAAACAGTAACAATGGACTATTTTTCTTAGCGGATGCATGTCAATTTAAATCAATACAACTATTTTTTAAATCAATAAAATCATTTTCTAAATCCATAAAATCATTTCAATTAATATTGGGAGTCATGTCGTTACTTTGTTGAGAATGTGGCCATGTAATAAGCGGGATAATGTGCAGCACCTAACACATAACACCTTCATGTTCTTTTCCCCATAATGACCGCGCCGCTGCACATTATCCATTACATTACATTACATTGCATTTAGCTGACGCTTTTATCCAAAGCGACTTACAATAAGTACATTCGACCAGGAAGACACAACCTTGAAGAAAACAGAATCATATAAGTACATCAGGTTTCATAGAGCCAAACATTTCAAGTGCTACTCAACTGGCTTTAGGTAAGCCAGTCCTTTATTAGTATAAAAGTGCTTCGTTAATAGTTCTAACGCTCGAAGTGGAGTCGAAAGAGATGAGTTTTCAGTTTGCGCCGGAAGATGTGCAAGCTATCTGCCGTCCTGATGTCAATGGGGAGCTCATTCCACCATCTTGGAGCCAGGACAGCAAACCCACGTGTTTTCGCCAATGGGAACTTGGGTCCCCCTCGCAGCGAGGGCGCAACGAGTCGTTTGGCTGATGCAGAGCGTAGTGCACGTGCTGGGTTGTACGGTTTAACCATGTCCTGGATGTACGAAGGGCCAGATCCATTCGCAGCATTATCCCTTACATATGATTATATAGTAATTATTCATTTGTTTTAAAGCAGGATGTGCAAACGCTTGCCTCGGGGAGGGAGAAAAAGAGCCACAGCGGAGAATAAACAGAAGGGCAACCATGCAAGGGAAGCCTTCGTCGCTGCTTTTGTGGCAGACTACAGCGCCACTTACAGGCCTGGCATATGTACTACAGCGTCTTCAGCGCTTTCGAGCGGCAATGGCCGGCCGTGGCCCAACCTCTCATGCCCCTGATAGGTGGAGAATTGACCAATAGCCGTAGCGCCACCTTCCTGACGTCAGGACAGTGTTCAAATCTGGATCAGTCTGTATCAGATCCGTTGCAGCCCCTTTTTTAGAGATTTGGGTACGGAGGAAAATAGAGAGGGTTGTGTTTTCTGACACTTGGTGAGTTCCCTGGAACACAGGGGACACATATTCATGTATAAAAGACGTACAAAAGTGCATTTTGCATGATAGGTCCCCTTTAACCAATTTACAATAAAGAAACGTCTTCTTTTAGTAAAATATTGTATGTGTGATTTCTTGGTTAAATGGTTGTATCAATTCAGATTTCTTAATGTAATTTTTGTTTTTTCTCATTCACAGGAGGTCCATGAGCTGTTGGGCAACTATGACTTGAAGTACTGCTTTGTGGATAAATACAAGGGCACAGGTTAGTTTAACTAACTTGAATTAATAATAAATTAACTTGAACTAAATCCCTCAAATGTTACCCTAGTTGTTTGCTGCTGGTTTGTATTCAAGGTGTGATTGTAGTCTGTATACCAGCGGCCCCCTTCGGCTATGAAACAAACCAATACAGCAGTGCCTTTATATTATATATTAGCTCTATGAGAAAATGATCCTACTTCTAACTTGATTTGTTACTAGGTAAAGATTTCTTTATTACTTTATGGTCTCAATTGGTAGAATTGTCATTAAAATATGATGTCCATTGTGAGTGACGGGCCTTTACAGAGGTTTTGTCCAGGTCTTGTCTGTATTTTGGTCCGAGAACTTTAATTTCACAGAGATTTCAGTTGGTAGCATTTCGGTTGTTGGTTCGGAATCTCGTGTCACTCCTGGTTGCAAAAAGACACAATATGGCAACAGCCAAAATGCCAAACAAAGTTATTTCTTTTAATTTATGTATCTAAAAAAAATATTGTTTCATGTAAGAAATCCAGAAAAATAAGTGGCTTGTGAGAAATGTGTTCAATGGGTGATATGGCTAAAATGTTATCACAATTGCTGTATATATCTCAATACTATAAATTGTTCTGTAAATTACGAAATAATTGTTTATAATAGCCCTACCATACTTTAACACATTTATTATTTTTCTTTCATTTGAAACTCTCATACAAACAAAACAATGTTCTAAAGTCATGTAACCAGAGTTCTTCCTCATCCCACTCTGCAGTTAACTTAATGTCTGCCCTCTTCATCCTTACCTTATAAGGCAGCAGGATTGGCAAGATCCAATCTGTGAATTTGATTGACATATGGTTGAACTCACTTGTCGCATCAACAGTTACTTATTTGTATGCATCAAGGAAACCAGATTCTGTGAATCAAAATGCAAAAATAATCAGTCATAAATTATCCTTAGGGGTATAAATTCACCTTGTATGCCCCAAAATGTGAGCTGCGTCTTAAATCAAGGAATTGCTTGTTTACAATGGTCTAATTGCAACAAAGATCAGGTTTTCTTTAGAAGCCTCAAAATCAATTTGTCAGGAAGATCTGACATTCAAGAGCACTTAAACAGAAAACCGCACCTTAATGTCTGATAATTATGGGGCAGGAAATAGCATAAGCCAGATGGTAAACTCGGGGTATGTCTGTTATCTACCAAACTGCCGCGGCAGATAACCTTCACATTTAGGTGTGCTTTTGTAGAAAAATAGTTGGCTGGTGAAAAAGTTAGAAGAAGAAGAAGAATTGGGAGGGATGAACCCCTCTTTAATGGTCACACATGCAGAGCACACAGTGACATTTGTTCTCTGCATTTAACCCATCCTAGTACCAGGCGTGTTTCTCAATCTCGAGTACGCTTGCTTGGTAGCACATGTCTTCCGAGTCACTTGCTTCAGAAGCGAGGCAAGAATACTTCCTGGCATTCGGAAAACAAAGAGTGGAACAGGCTAGCAGGTGTGTGTCATATGAGAGGCCCCGCCTTACATTTTCTGCCACAGATTTGGGGAAATTGGTCCGTGCGCAAAGCATTGTGGGGATTTTAAGACCGGAGTCTACACATGTGCAGCCTCGAAATGTCTCCAAACGAAGTACTCTGGGCTCAGTAGAATTCCAAGTATGCTGGACATTGGAACAGTACTTTGGCGGCACTCGATGACGTAGTATGCTTGAAATAGTGACTCTGGAGCAGCTTTACTCAAGGTTGAGAAACACCCCAGGAGTCTAGTACTAGGAGCAGCTATTGTACAGTCCCCGGGGAGCAATGGGGGGGTGGGGAGTGTTCGGTGCCTTGCTCAAGGGCACCACAGCAGGGCAGGAGGTGAACTGGGACCTCTCCAAGTAGCACTCCACACTCCATATTTTAGGTCTGGTCGGATGGTTAGGCTATAATAACCTTTTTATTTTAATTTGGCTTTCAGGCTGCAACATTTGTTGTTGTAATCCTCCGCTTCTCTTTCAAAACATGGTTTACAGGATGTTTTTGTGACACTGAGCATCACACCATAGGGCTCTGTTGTACAAGAGTCTGTCAAATTGGTATACACTTTAAATTGGTGATGTCAATACTATAAACGGGGCTATATGTGTTTTTTTAGGTTTGAACATAATCAGATAAAATGTCTTTGATTCTTGTCAGCCGTGATAGCTCCCTTTGTAGTCTCAATAAGAGAAATATTGCATTGCCATGAAAGCATGTGGGTGGTAACATTCTGCCACCAGCGTTGTCTTTTATCACACCTGGAGGACTGTTATCACTAAGGCTGGCTCCCTGAGACCTGCTGTATATGAATAATCTATTTGAATGCTGACTGAACAAATATCACTGCCTCACTTTTAACGTTTCCCTCTTTTCCCTTAGCATTTGTGACACTTCTCAATGGGGAACAGGCACAGTGTGCTATCAAAGACTTCCACCAGCATGTGCTACGGGACCGGGAGATCTCTGTGCAGCTGCAGCCAACAGACGCTCTGCTGTGCATCGCCAACCTGCCCCGCGCCTTCACCCAGCAGCAGTTTGAGGAGTTGGTGCGGCCCTTTGGTAACCTGGAGCGCTGCTTCCTGGTGTACAGCGCCTCCACGGGGCACTCCAAGGGCTATGGCTTTGTGGAGTACATGAAGAAGGACTCTGCTGCCAGGGCCAAGTCGGAGCTGTTGGGAAAGCAGCTGGGCTCCCGCATGCTGTACGTCCACTGGACTGAAGTGGGCTCCCTCACATATCCACTGCTGAACTCCAAGTGTCTCTGTGTGGACCGTCTGCCCCCCAGCCTGCTGACAGCCCAAGACCTCCGCAATGCCCTGGCTGACACCCATGCGCCAGTCTTCTGCCAGGTCAGATGCAACACAAATGAACACTCCGGGGCTGCAACTAACTTTTGTTTCATCATAGATTAAACTGCCATACATTTTCAAAAGTAGTGGAGTAATAATTTGATCTATAAAATGTCAGAATATTAGGACTTCCCAGTTTCTCAAAGTCAGATGTGATGTCTTTCTTTAATGAATGCTTATTGGTGATTATTTATCTGTTGATCGCTCAAGGATTAGTTGCAGCTCTAAAACACTGGTACAAATTGATATGATTTTAGAAAAATGATTTATCCAGATTGTATTTTACACCACAGATAATGAATGTTATTCGAGTTTGGATCAGCCATTTGATATTCCCGGATTGGATTTGAATTGAATGTGCTGACATGTGTATATGAGTTGTAGCCATGCCACTGAAGGGGTACGGATGGCAAGATTCTATTTTTGCGTATATACAAATGAAATGTTTTGGTGTTTCTGTACCCTTTCACCTTTACCCCAGTTTTCCTGTGGCCACTCAAAGTTTCTATAGCAGTGAGCATTGCTGGTTTCTATGGTGATGACCACCTGACTCCCCCAGGTGGTGTCATTCAGCAGGCTCTTCTGGAAAGAGAGAGCGTCAGCCTTTTTAACACGCATAGTTGTGCTTTCTGCTGGTTTCAGGGTTTTTAAGGATTGTGGCAAATGCAGTGATTTAAGGGAAACGTTTTAACAAAATGCAAATAGGCTTTTGTTTTGGCTTTTGAACTATTTACACTTGGTGTTTTCAAATCATGAGGCTACATTTGTTGCCGGATTAATTTTAAGGCCTGTAAAAGGAAATTCACAACTTATATTTTAGAAAAGCAACTCTGTAATAAACTTCTGTGTACAATGTTGAGGAACAGTCAAATATAAGTATTATGAGAGGTTGCCTTATAAAACCTGTAGTTGCTATCAAATTGCCTGAATGCCACCAATTAGGGGAGTCACTAGATCTGGACATTCCCTACCTATATGTGCAGCACATATGGGTGAAGGTCAAAAACCACAAGCCTAGCAGTCAGTGTTGCACCGGTCTTGCTGTATTTGTTAGCAACAAATTGCCTTTAAGATATGAGAATAACCCTTTTTTTTCTCCACACAGTTGGCTCAGGGACAAGATGGAAGTTTTCGTCGGTTTGCGGTCTTAGAGTTTCCCTCATCTGAGATGTCAGAGGAGGCGCAGCGCCTGTCTGACGGCAGGCTGCTCGGTGGGACAAACATCAGGGTGTCCTTCTGTGCCCCTGGGCCTCCTGGAAGAAGCATGTTGGCTGCTCTGATCGCTGCCCAAACCATGGTATTTAAGTCAAACTAATGTGTCATACCCCTTTCACACCAACGCGGTTCCAGGGCCGGTTCGGAGCTGGAGCTTGAAAAGCACCGGTTTTTCCTGTTCACACCGCAGCGGAGCCACGTCTAAGTTTCAAGCACCAAAAAGTTGTCGGTCTAGAAAGCAAGCATCCGCCTTTCCGCCAGCTTCAACATGATCTGTGGAAATAACATTGAGAATCAGTTTTAATGTTATACCATAGTAATTAATACTGCAAAGCTGGGTATTTTGAGCTTGGCGCATGCAGAGGCTAACAACAGCTAGCTCTAACGCCATCGAATAGGACGTATATTTACCTTCTTTCTGCTACGGAATCGTCGTTGATGATTGTAAAGAACTTTTGAATGTAGCATGTAACGACTGTAAAGTCGTTTCGACAAACCAAAACGAGTAGCGCTTCAATACAATCTGCCGTTATTGTTGTCGATGTGAGGGGTTTCCGCACGGTTTGGCTTTATGAAGCAGGCACGCAAATGGTTACGTCATGACGCAAACGATGACGCAGCACCTGTCGGGCTCTGAGCGGTGTGAACAGAGCGGGAGCTGAACCGGTTCTGAACCAGAAAAGCTCTAGCACGGAGCTAGAACGGGAAAAGCCTTGGTGTGAAAGGGGTATGAGTCAAAAGCTACTATTACATTTGACTTTGTGCTGACTGCCTGTTCTGTGTCCTGTCCTCCTCTTTTTTCTTTTCTTTTTTAAGGCTGTGAATAGGGGTAAAGGTCTCCTCCCTGATCCCACAGCCATGCAGATACTAACAGGCTTGAATAACCCTGCCACCCTCAAGATGCTGCTCAACCCGCTGTCACAGGGGCCCAAACAAGGTGAGAATGACTCACTTCCTCTTAATCAATGCCTTTTTAATTGTCGGGTTTGTTCTGGAGCTGTGAGTCCTGATGTCCTCTTTGTGTGCAGGCCTCCTCGGGGCAGCTCCCACAATGCCCCTGCTGGCAAACCCCGCCCTCTCCGCCGCCCTGCTCCAGCTGCTCCTTCAGAACCAGGCCAAGGTGCAGCAGGTACTGTAGCCTTTCTGCCTTTTTCACTCTGACATGTGGCTCCTTTGCCGCTCGGCTCGCTTTGATTCATCCTCACCCACTCACACTCTCTTTCCCCCCCCCCCATACTCTCTGCTCTTTCCTTCTTCACCATTAGCAAGTCTTTCTGGGAAATCATCTTCTTTGGGCTCAGGTGCTGCACAATAAAGAAAACCCTCTAGTCCCTTGTGTGAGTGATAATGGTGTTTTGTGTTTGGCTATTGGTGGGTAAGCTGGATTGATCTTTTTGTGTGATTGGTGATAGTAGAACGTGATGCCTGGGTGGGTAAGCTCTCGCTAGGAAATTGAGGTTTGTTTTGTGTGTGAGGCGTACTTTTGAGTGATCTGATTGGTGTGTACAAAATGTGTAAATAGCCACTCTGCAAGGACATCATTTCATACGTGGTGAGTAAGACTCAGTGTTGATTAGGTGTGCTGGTGTAGTGCAGCGGTTCTCCCCCGCTCGAGTGTTGCAGCCAGGCTGTGACCCTCCTGTGACACAGACCTTTGCTCTCTCTCCTTTGGCCAGCAGGCAGGACTCATCGGGGAGAATCCTCTGGCCGCTCTGCCTGTCCAGCAGGGAGTCCATCTGCTCGGAGACCTGCCCCAAGGTTTGACATTCCTCGACTCCAGCCGCATGTTATTTTTTTTCTTCTTCGCATATGATGCTTAACATCTGTATCCCCCCGGGCTTGTAAATAATGGTTTCTCACCTTTTTTTTTTTTTAATTGCTCATTACATTTTGCTCACAATTCAAGATGTCATGCATGTTAACATTTAAATTCAATAATCTGTCTTTTAGGTCTTGGTCTTCAAACGGATCCTATGGGCTCCCTGAAGTCAATGCAACATGGCAGATCCCTGGCAAGGGAGCAGGAGTCCCCCACAGCAATGTGCACCTTCCCCCAGACTTCCTCTCCCACCCTGCAGGGCATCTCCATGCCCCTGATGGGTGGCATGATGGGAGCAGATGGCCTCACAGCACAAGGGGTGAGGTCCCAAGCAATTTCCATAATGTATTCTACCTCTTGTATTTGTGTCTAGCGTTGTGCCCAAATGTAAATAACAGAATAATAAAAAGCCATTTTCCCCTCCGGCAAGGTATCTCTACTGGGAGACCCTCCAAAAGATGTGAACCATCCCCAGAGTGCCTTCCTCGGTGTCAACAGTGGTTTTCCCTCAGGTAATTCCCTTTTTGTTTTTAAATACTGTGTAGTTCTAGTTTTCCTACAGCTTAATAAATAGAAAAACATGTTCCAGCATATATGGATAATGTCTGTTTTCACTTTGTTACTCCAGTAGAAAGCTGCAGACCTCACCCCTATAGGAAAAGACCCACTCTAAGTAATGTGTCCAACCATCACACATATCAGAGCTTACAGCCAAATTACAACCTGCGCTACCAGGACTCCTACAGCCCCGAGTACCCTCCTCTCCACCAGGTAACCAGCGTTGAAAGACTTGTTCCATGAAAATATGTCATTGTGACCTTATGAATTTAGGGTTTAGTGCATGGCTGCTCGTTCACTGTGCTGTATGTGATCTGGTGTTTCTCCTCAGGATCCTCTGGCCCACCTGTATGAACTGCAGGAGAACCTTGATACTGGAGCTTTGGCTGGATTTCGTCAGCAGGTAGGGTTTGTCAAACATTTCAAGACCGCAGTATTTGAATTGGATTATAAGGGGGTATAACTGTTCTGAACTCAAAACCAAATCTCAGGATGAAAATGTATTATAGGCTTACTTGCAGGCAAAGTCAACTGTTAGAAATATCTATTTGTCCTCTTATTTAACGAATCAATAAGCCGTCTTAACTAATGGTTCTTGAAGTGTTGGTTTATACAATAAAACTGATACATTTTCTCTTTTTTAATTGAGTTACTCCCCTGCCACCCCTCACAAAAGTGTAACGTCTGCCCCAAACGGTGGAATTGTTTCCCCCTGGTTATTTGACGACATGCTTACTGCCCAACTCTAACACACTTTGTTTCTGCAGCTTCCCCGTCACCCTGACTACAGTGAGCGGTTCCCCCCCTACAGTTACCCTCCCAGTGAACCCATGTCCCCCTACTACAGCTCGGGGCCGGAGGACAGAAACCTTCCAACCCCCCATCTCAACAGGGTAAGCCTGAAGCTTCTGACTGTCCTCTTTTCTTTTGGAAATGTTTTCGAAGAATAATCCCATGGTCAATAATGAATGTGAGGCTGAGTGCATGAGCCTCGGTAGAAGTGTAGTCCACTGAAGGCTGCTTGTTTGTCCTCAGGCTGTGGGAATGCCTCCTGCGAGCCACGCCACAGACTTCCCCCCAGGCCTGAGCAATGCTGCCAAGGTAATATTTAAACCTTCTTGTCGAAGCGTTATGAGTCTTAACTTTTTGTGAAAATGTTTTACCTTTAAGCACATCTGCTCTTTATTGATTTTTTCAAAATTCTAGACTCCTATTGGTGGCCACAAGCGTGTGTTCTCCCGGCTGATCCCATCTCCGGAGCCGAGCCCTGAAGGGGGCTACGTGGGCCAGCATTCTCAGGGCCTTGGGGGCCACTATGCAGACTCCTACCTGAAGCGAAAGCGTATATTTTAGGTACAGCTGAATGCTTCTTGCTGTAGGAGTAGCCAATCAGCAGCCAGGACACAATGGCATCTCCTCCGCTCTCCTTTGAACTTTATAGCGTGGTGTTCCTTGGATTTGTCTCTGTACTCCTGAGGGACCCCTGGAGGGTCGGGGAGTGCAGCCTGTTGCTATCTGGACAGTTGTGTCACTTCATTAGAATTCTTGGTGGTTGTATTTTTTTCTGTTGTGTATATATGATTTTAGTGTGTTGGTAAATTTTAAGTTTTTACTTTTTTCCTTATTTTTAAAATTTGACTTTTAATTTCCTGTTGAAAAACGTGTACAGTGAAAAAAAAAAAAGGTTAACCAGGAAATGGAAGTATTTTCTCTTGATCATTTTTATTCCTGTGAGTGTGCCATATTAGCAGAGCTACATATAGTTTGGCCAGTTTTCAATGGTGGCCAGAGGCTGCTTTTCATAATGTAAAGTGAGGCTGTCCACAATTTCCGTAAAGGGACTTCGTTGTATTTAAAAACAAGCTTTAATTCAAAAGTTTACTTTTTTCTTTAAACAGCTTTCCTAATTCCATGTAAAACGTTCAGTAGTTTGTTTATAGAGATGGTGTTTTTTCTTTTTTCTCCTTTCACAGGGTTGTATATTTTGCTTTATTACTCTTTCTGGATCCAGGCCTTATTTCATTGGTTAACATACAGCTCTCCATCCACCAATGACAGCTGTATGTACCAGCCTGTGTATAATGACACTGAAGCTTTTTACCCTTCTGGCATATTTTCTCAAGCCTAATCTTTTCCACGTTGTTTGTCCTTTGATTCACACCCTCCAACTTGTTTACGGAGTCTGTTCTCTACACTGGTTGAGTGATGCACTTGGAGGTCACAATCCTATCTGTTCTCACCGCTATAAGATGCCATTCTTAAGTCTTCTCTCACCCGTATGTCCAGGAGTTAAATGTTTTCTGTTTGTATGAGTTCTGGTTTATAAAGTCTAAATTCCAAACGCCACATCTCTGGTTGAGTTGATGGGCCGGTGGACATGTGCCATTCCTTTGAGTCTTAAGATGTACTAATGGAAGCTAGTAATTGGTCAGTGACATGGCTGTCTGTTTTTCTTTTTTCTCTTTTTTTTTAATCTATCTGGTTGACAGTTTGATTGTGAAAACCCCATTACCTCTGACTTCTGCTAGGAAATGCAGCTACACTTGAGCCTTAACAGTGTTTTCTGTGACATCATCCTGCCCTGTGTTGGCTTACATCTTACCATTTCTGTGTTTTTTGCTGTGTAAATAGTTAAGCTTGATACTTTTCCAGAGTCCAAAACTTTTGTTTTTCTTAAATCATACCTGCCTCTGGTCTGGTGTTTTGAATGAATTTGCTGCTCCTCGTGTTTTTGTTGTTTGGCTGTATGTGGGACAGCTGAGTGGCGCCACAGCAGGCCGCCCATGTTGTGTATGGACCAAGAGATACTGTGTACGTACTGTATGATCATTTATTTTGATTCTACCATCTTCTCATCTGTACTGCCATTGTTGTCTCTGTATGTGTGTGATGAGAGCAAGTAAATGTTATTTAAACCTTTAATGTTGTCATTTCATTTTTTGCTTGAGCTTTACTGCAGCTGCTACATGCTAATCTTCTTTTTAGGGTTAACATATCTTTGTACTTTATCCCAAAAAGTTTGACTTGTTCTTTGGGACATGCCCTTGTTTTTAGTTTAACACAAACACATCATTTCCTCTTGAAGCACAACTGCCTTTTGGAGGTTCATTTTTGGAGTCTTAATTTCCGAATTAAGTTCAGAGGGATCCAAATTGATTTTGAGTGACCCTGAACAGATTTACATAATTTTAGATTTACTATCAAAAGTTAAAGAAAAATAAATCCCCACATGGGTTTAGAGCTGGTTAATGCAAATTGCCTTTGGTCCCATTATTATTATTGAATCATGTCATCCTTCAGTAGGGGTGCTGGCATGAAAAGAACACATTTGAGTCGAACAATCATTTATAGGCCAACCAAAGTATTTTGAGCTGCACAGAGATGCGCACAGCGGTTATCGTATTCATAATTTAGCTGATTATGTGAGTAATGAACCAGAACTGATATGCCTCCTCTCAATCAACAATGAACGCGTGCACAGCCGGATGTTTTGCTTTATTGGATTGGCAACCAACCGTAAAACTAATGCTTCTACAACCTTGCAGACAGATGTTGAGGAACAGCATGAAGTAAACAAAAGGGAAGCCTCAAAACATCTTGTAAATTTAATTGGAAACTCATTTTGTTGCCTAATATGTGAAAATAAATTAACGGTTGTTAGTGTTTCATGATGTACATAATACACTAACCTTGTAACAACCCAATAATAGCCTTTGACTTTCCTGCGTTCTTGGGTTACATGTCACCAGGCAGACGCCCTCTGCCTCCATCAGAGCGTTAATGCTGTAAATGTGACCTGTATGAATGGTAAACAAGTTATTGCTGAGAGGATGCATTGTGCTCCCTGAATGAATAATTTAACAGCCTCAGCCAGTCAGCCATAACGGCTGATAACAGGCTGCTCAAGAAATGCAAACAAGCAAATAGGATATCATAGGGAGAAGTGAAGTACATTTCCCATATGATAAGACTAGAGACTGATGATATTCAAATGTATTGAACGTGAAAAAGAGGTGAAATAATTCAGCTATGTTCTCTAAGCCCAGTATTTTCTGTTGAGCAGACTCTGAAGGTAAAGGCATGTCAAACTGAGCTTAAAGTGGTCTGCTCGGGTGATTGGCCCTTTGCATCGCCGTCCCTCACCCTTCACACCGAGGGGCTAGGGGGCAGGAGGCAGGGAGAAGAGCTCCTCTTCCTCTCAGCACTCATCAGGATGAAGGGTTTGTATTAGTCGTAATTCATGTGGACCTGCTGAGCCCTGAGCTGATGGAGCTTTCCCCTGATGGGCAGAAACACAGCTGCAGTACATTTCTCATAAGAGTCTGCCTTTTCTTGACCATTGGATATTGTCTTGGACATTTCTCAGCCAGCAACTTTTTTGGCTGTTGTGATGCCCAACAAATAACTATCATTAATATTTAAAGAAAAATGGAAATGAGAACGTATAGAAGACATGCTGGGTTGTTTTTGAGACCTGCTGGCACTATATTAATGGGGTTTTCCCTGTCATTGGGTATATTTGTCTGTAATTCTTCAGGCACCCTTGAATTATGTTCTCATACCTGCAGCCAGTCTACCCAGAGTTCTCAGAGGGATTCACCGAGGCTCGGCGGACGCTGTGTCAGACACATTTAGATTTCTGCCTTTCATGATTTCCACCCACACAGTCACCCTGCACAGTTGCTGGTGAATGCTGCAGAAACATGCGATTTTACCAAATACAGAGAGGGAGAGCTCTGACGGCAGATCACTGCAGCATCATGTATCACCCACCACACACAAATCAAGGGGACGTTTTATTTCTGGAGCTTTCTGTATGTGTTGAACATGTCACTGACCTTACCTTTACTGCCATGTGTTTGAATGTAGATGGGAAAAAACAGATCCACTGTAAGCTACTTTTATAAAACTAAATTCACATCTGCAGTGATTTATTACTGCTTTATTCGATATACGAGCAACAAAGAGTAACCAAAAAGGGTATGTCACAAGTGCTGTTTATAGCAAGATTAGTCATAGAAAGCAGCCCACTCCCCCTGTGACAAACAGTCTATAAAACAGTGAAACATCTCCACAGCACAGGAGAGAGCTGTCTTTTGCTAAATTCAGGCGAGGGTGAAAGTCACTCAGTTTGAACGGTGCTCGTGCTTACAGCCAAACAAGATTATATTATAGTAGGGAATTCAATTCCAAGCCAGAACATGTACCCTTATCCCCCTGAAATAAGCTTGGCTATTGTTACACTCTTCATTTTCATCTCTTCCAGTCGATCCCCTGTGTAATAGTATCAGTGTATAATATAAGATAACCATTTGTGGGAAAACAAAAGCTATGTTTCCCAGCACAGTGTTCTAATGCACTGAGAAAACAAACGTTATACATACAGTCATTCTCATTTTCTGGATAGATATGCTTACATTTAAGTTTGATTATTTAATTTCCCTAGCATCAGACATTGACTGTAGCAGTGTGATGGACCTGGTTAAAGCATCAGGCTGAGAGTTTCATTCACAGCGAAGCAGTAGCAAGGTAATGTAGAGTTTTTTCCACCACACCCAAAAACCTAATCTCATCTCTTTGAGAATCTTCTCTCGTCCTCCTCTCCCCTGTTGAATCATATCTCCTGTCCAGACTCGGATCCTTTATCCTGCGCACAGCTCTCATTCCTCTCTTATGTCCGTCCTGCCACTTGTCTCTTACATGATTACAATTGAATCAAACCATATTGTAAGAACACGTTGTCCGTGAACCCTGCATTTATTTTTCTCTGTGTTTTTTTATCTAATAATTAAATGTAAGATGGTTATTCATTGTGGAACTCCTTGTTTATTGCCTTAAGCACATATTATTTGAATGTAAAAAACAGAGTGCAACAACAACAAAATGTTATGCTTTAATTTGTATGTCTTTAAAGGCACAATATATAATCCAAATGTAAACTGAAACCTGCCATCACCCACACATTGACTGAAGGGTCTTTAATTATGATGACAGACACAACGATTAAATTAAAGTGCTGATGCTGTTTGACTGGCCAGTTGTTAAAGACAGATTATACTTTTCATATAACATTAAAATTCTTCGATTAGATTTTCAAACATGCATAATTAATGTGGTTGTAGTAATGCATGATGGGCACTTTAAGTCGTTTTTTCCTGGTCTTCCACTTCCATTGTGCCCCCCTGTTTCACCAGTACCATATCACACACCAGGGCCCACTAAAGTGCATTGTGGGAGCTCAGCCTTGTGGTCTTTCTGACACTTGATTCTCATCTCCAGTTGCCCTTATAGCGCCGCAACATCATTAGTAGAAGTTTTAAGAAGCTTTCAAATCTAGTTATCAAATCATTTAAAGCCTCCCTGGTCCTCATCTCGTCCATAAAGTGAAACCTTGCCTCCCATGTTGCAACATTTTCCGATCTAACTGCTCCTCGGCCTTCTACTCAAGACACATTTCAGAAAGATCTGATTGGTTTGGAAAAAGAAAACATTACTTAAGAGGAAATGAGGCGAAAAGTGGTGGCACGCTCGTGCTGCTTGAGAGCACACAGAATCACTTCTGAATGATTGTGTTGTTCAGTGTGTGTAGGATTTGTGTTAACGCACATGCACACAGTGTGGACAGGAGGACATTACGCCCACACCGCTGCACCTCCACAGGAAAAGAAAAAGACAATCTGAAATTATTTTAGGAATCCTTTATCACACCTAATATAAATGACCCACTAGCTTGCTGAATCACTGTTACATATTACTGCAACCATGTCTAAGCATGCCGATACTTCCTCCTCTCTCACACATACCTACATTTAAGGACTTTCAATCTACTTTTCATTGTCCTACATGTGTGTTTACACGCATGTAGACACACATACAGAGTAGCTGCCAGACTATTGCACACAGTCAGGAAAGAGGTGTGAATTAATATTTCATGGCCCTCCACTGGCAGAAAGTGGATTTATTTCCCAGCATTCCCTGATGCCCGATGTGTAGACTCAGTGTGGGCCAGAGGCCAGACAGGCTGCTGATGGTCCTTCGGCTCGATATGCAAAATCTGCTGCCTTCTGTGAATATCTGTAAGCTAGAGACATTATTTACATGTTCAGTTTAAGCTACATCTCCACCGTACACACTCACCAACATTAAAATAAAACGGCAATAATGCATGTCACGCTGTACTTCACCATGGCCTGCATGACCCTCCTATCCACATGCACTGAGCTAGCAAGACTGCTTGGCATTTCAATTATTTGTCACAATATGAATGTATAATGCAGAGATCTATTTGGCCAGGTTGATGGTAATAAATCAGATGCTCACTCAATGAAGTGTGAAGCTGACTCAAGCACGAGGAAAGATTGTTCCCCCATACCCCATCATACGTTCTTTATCTGGGGAATTATCATAAGAATACATTTATACATGATGAGTTTACATAAGGTCCATTGTCTATGTCATCAAAAAGTACTTTTACGACAGAGTACAACATTCTTGCACAAGGAGCTGGTTAGAAATGTTCCTACATTCCACAAAAACATTACCCATGCCACATTCCGATCTGCATACTTGTTGGTCAAGATTTCGCGCATATGAGAGCCATGAGACCAAAACCCTGGGTAATTAATAAAATAGCTCACTGTGTTTGGGCATTTCTTTCCTGCGTTCCTACAAGTGAGTTCTCCTTGTTAGCATGCAGCAGTTACAGACTCCTGGAGTCTTTGCTTGCTCATTCCCATTCTGATGAAGCATCTGAATCGTATTTTAAATGTTGGTTAAATCCTTCTAATTGTCCTTCAGAGAGAAATTCCTTGCAGCACGATTCAATTCAATTGAAGTATCGTATTTCTTTTTTAAAAGTGTTTCCCAGTGTAACAATAGTCTAATCTGTGATTCTGATAAGCAGCTTGGAGTTGCTCATTTAGGATTTTTATGAACCATTTCTAGACCCAAAGCAGCCTTTAAATAAAACACTATAGTTGTATGGTCATCGGCTTTAAATGGGAAATTAAAGATATTTCCACCTATTCTCTCTGCGTCCAGATACAGACAGCTTTTTCATTTTTCCCTTTTCATTTTCTAAGGACATGTACTGCACTTTAACATTGTCTCTCAAGGAGACAATATTGAATACTTTGGAACAGCTGCCCTGGGAGAAAATAATCATTTAAAGTTGAAATTAAATTGCAGATTTGTTCTGAATCATAGCGAGGAAGTAAAGTCCCCAGCGTCATTCAATGCTTCAAGGTAAATATATTCAAGGATATATTCTTTTCATTCTAAATCACATATCACAGTTGTGTGTAAAGAAAGGGGTCTTTATGATTACATTTTACGTGTTTCTTTTTGTTCTAAAGAAACGTGCAATGAAGGTTAAAGTTATGATCATATCAAACCGACAGATTGTAAGCATTGAGCCACTCACAAAAGTTTAAAACCTAACATTTTCGACTCGTCTTATTTTGATAAATGCGACAAGCAAACAAGCATGTTAAACTGTGCCTTTTCTTTCAATTTCAGCTGAGAACACACTTCTAAAATTAGACCTTGGCTTTTAAAGAAGCAGACAAAATGATGAATGCCTTAGTGTTGTGGCTGAACTACTGCAATGCTTCTGTACGTGCCTACTCCAACCTTCTGCAGCTCACCTCCAGTTAAAATGCTTCTGCTGTTGCTTTTCTCTGAAGGTTACCACAACATTTCTAAAGTAGTTCAAATAGCTTTGAATTGTGTGAGTGCATTTCGTGATCCAGTAACACAGTGTATGTGTAAACTATTTGATGTCCATTATATCAAGAGCACGGATTGCGTTCATTCCGGATGACTAACTGCGTTTCAGTGCTTAATTTATCAAACAGTGTCAGCTCTGGAAAATCCACTTATGCTTAGTGTTTATAGGGTTCAAAAACAACATATTCACATTATTACCCCTACAGCTGTAAGCCTAAACCGACCACATTTAGGTAAAACACACAGAACATCTGTTGATGCTAGTTCATACAGTATCACTTCTTCTGAAGCAGTTTTAAACTCAATACCTTCATACAATTGCAATTTTTTGTTAATGTATTGCACTACACAGTATGCATGTAGAATCATAGCTCAAAGCAATAATTCTTCTCATAAAACAGACTGTAAACACACCTGGGTTTTTATTTCTGTCTAGCTTGCTCTGAAGGGCAGACAGCTGGAAATGAGCACGGAATAAACTAAAGATTGAATTTAGGGTGAGGCAGAAAAAAGCGTGTGGACAAAAGGGAAACCACTTTTTACAGCGCCAGTCTATGTGTGACAGAAGTACTTACAGTATAGATGGAAATTCGACTAGAAATCTGCACGCTCTCTGCTCTGTGAGGCTGTGAAGCTCACCAGAAAACAAAAGCTGTTGGTTTGGACCACTTGTCTGTTTATGGTTATGCATATTCTCCATGAAACCATAAGAACTGTGAGGGTTGGCATGAAGAACATGTTGATTTATTGTCAGAATACAGGAATATTTGGACATGTAGAAAATCTCTTGGTATTACTATGCCCTACATTTCTTTCTGGTCACGTTCTTTCCTTCTGTTTCAATCTTTCAGAGCCCAGGCACGAGGGAAATGAAGGAAAGCTTTCAGAGGACCCCTGGGAAAAAGTGGACTTTCAGTTAATTGTAAGTGGCACCACTGCTTCCCTTGACACTGCTTTTGTCCTGCTGCACACACACTACACATGAAGGGCAGCAGACGGTTGTCTCCGGCGGCCCCCGGCTAATGAGCTCGACTCGCCTGAGGTGTGAGGCCTGAGGTCAGGTCTGCTGCGCTGTAGTTCAGCCAGCCAGCATCGGATGGAGCCAGTGGGCGGCGTTGTAGCAGATCTTCACCAAGACTCTCCACAACCACTCACTATGGCTTTATCAAAGTAAATAACCATTTCCTTTTGGTTTATGACTATTTTAACCCAATGCCAATGGTTCGGCTTATTGAAAACTTATACTTAAAGGATTGGTTGCTGTTCTGAGTTTGTATCTTCATGGTTGATTGCACTTATTGTAAGTCACTTTGGATAAAGGCATCAGCTAAATGAAGCGTGTCTGTAAATAGTTTTTTTTTTGTTGCATTTATGGCACCAAGATGTTCAATTAATCAGTTTACAGCTGTCAGTGCCACCATTGATGCTGTTCAGACATCACTCCTGGGAGCATTCAAACTGTGCTGGCAGGAAAAGAAAAGCAGCAGCATTGAAAAGTTGTCAGTCCATCCAAGCATCCGCTGTCTATTTTTTAGCTCCTTATCTGTGTCAGGGTTACCAGCGGCAGCAAGCAGAGACGTCCAGATGTCTCATTTCCCAGTAGCCGACTCCAGCTCCTCTCTGGAAATCTGAAGGCACTTCCAGGTCAGCTGAGGCTGTCATGAGTCCACTCATGCTGATTCCCGGTGGGCTGTTCACCAATTGGAAATGTGAGCTTATCTTCTCTAAGTGCTCAACAGCTGTCACTCAACATTGAGGGCCTCAAGAACTGTCTTACAGCCATGTTCTTCACAGCCAGTCTGATACGCTCCTTCTCATAACCACAGGTACATTATTTATGTGATGTACCCATATATAGTACACAGAAACCCAAACTCCATCTGGAGAAATATAGCATTCCATCTAAAAGTGGCAAATCAGGAATAAGATATGTTCCCAGATCTGGGCATGCTCGTATTCGTCACATGTCATAGTCAGCTATACAAACTCCTCCAAAGCAATTTGGACAAAAGGTTGAAAATTCTGCAGACACTAAAGACTCACCTTAATGTCAGCTAAAGCCTGTCTGACTGCAGATCCACATCCATTATCAGAATCAACCTTATTGGCCAAGCAAGTGTGCAAATAAAAGGATTTTTTTATATTCTTAATGTTATTCTACAGAAATAGACATAACAGCTAAGAACAAGAACAATGAAGCTGAACGTGGTAAATATAAACATTGACTATGACATATATAAAAAAATTAAGTACTTCTGAGTTTGATTATTCAATGTAGGTTAAATACTCTCAATCACTAAAGAGAAACAGTACCATCCACAAATAATAAAAGCATGTTCCCTCTACTCCTAGTCAACACAACTAGCACCTGATTGGGCAATACATTGAATTACATGTACACATTGATCCCAGCCTGACAGAGGTCAGATCATTGTCACAAATGTCACTACAGTCAGATGCTTTCATCCAAAATGTTAGTGCCATTAGCTGCGGTGTCCCTGGTGGGAATAGGACCTTTCATCTTACAGTCTGAGTGCCCTGCCCAGCTCCAAAACAGGATAGAGTTTAATTATGTTCTTTATCTAAAAATACCAGCCGAAAGGAAATATTAGGGGAGGTACTGGGAGGTGTCAGTGTACTCCTCAATCAGGAAGAAGCTAAGTAATAGGGACAATTTTCAGCTAGAAATAGGTCAAATGACTAACAGTGGCATTTTAAGATGCCTGATCTTGTAAGCCTTGTTCCCAGCTGCCATCATCATTTGAGCAATTTGCTGTGTTTGTTTTCTGTCAAGGAAATGCGCAGTGAATGCGTGCATGGGGCAAAACATAATGGATGAGCACATAAAAGGTTCAAAACACTCCAGTGCTGACAAATCACTGAGGAGAACAACCATCCAACCACCATAGAGATAGACTGGACTGAGAGGGAGAGAGGGAGGTAGAGAGGGAGAGGGAGCTTTGTGGTGAAGCCAATGTTTGTCGTCGAACTCCAGCAAATATGAGGATGGGAAGATAATGGCCCACACTGAACAGAATGGCTGAACCTCCGAAATTATCAATTTGTGTCATTTTATGATGCATTCTGACAAAACTAAGCCTGGAGAAGAGAGTGGACAGAAAGGAACAAATGATCGCATCTGTTTTTTCAACCCATTCTTCATACCATCCTGAGGTATTGAGGAGGAAGGATGGTTTTTGAGTGCAGTGTGCCATCTTTTTGAAATCACTGGATCTAACATCTCCATGGAGGAATTACTGGAGACATCTGCGCGCTCCGAGATGCCGTAGCTCTACACGAGCCGTGATAGATTGAGTACTTTTATGGAAATTGCTTGGACATTTCTGAGAGACGTGCGGGCAGCAATAATACCACACACATAAGCCAGCGCCGGCGATCTGTGTGTCTCTGCAATAAGTGGCTGATAAAAAGCAATAAACTCTCTAAAATAAATACAGTCATCCGGTTGTGCGCCATGGGCGACGAGGCGTCAAACTTCAGGGGAAGCAGCAGGACCGGTGTCTCATCACTAAAACGCAGGACTGGTGAGGATCACGGCAGAGGGGAGAGTCTACTAAATTAAAACTGATCTCCACTGAGAACAATGAGATTAACGATTTTTGAGTTGCCAGATTACCACTGTGACAGTTTTTGATGTTATTCAGAAAACACGATTCAGATCTGGGCTGTGCTGGACTTGGTCACTTTGATTTGTTCGAGTGGCAGAGAGGGACATGAAATGCTTTGTTTTGTGCTTGAAATAAACGAATACAGCCATATCATTTAAGAAATAACTTTTAAAGGGGATCTTTCATATTTTTGTTTGCACTATGATGGAACGATCGCCGTGCTCGAAGAAGAGCCTGTCCCTGTCGCTCCCGGTTCCCCGGGAAGGACAGGCGACTCTGAAGCCTCCGCAGCATCTTTGGAGACAACCCCGGACCCCCATCAAAATCAAACACCGGGGCTACTCCGACACCGACCGGCATCACCACCGGCACATGGAGCGCTCAGACGCCGTGGATACGACCGACCGACCAGGACTGAAAAAGTCTCGGATGTCTTGGCCGTCCTCTTTCCACGGGACCACAAACACCTCCATCGGAAATTGTGTCGGGAATAAACGGTAGGCGAGAGAGGAGTGTGCATACCAAACATCCCAATAATAGCCCATGACAGCCCACAAGGCATATGCGTAAACGAGAGGGGAGGAGGGGGTGCATTTTAATGAGTGCGTAATAACGCAGTGTGCCTGAAGGGTTAACTGATATGAAGCGCTTTCTACCGGGAGGCGGGACGCGTGGGTTTTCGGTGCTGATGCGTTATGCGTCTTTGGATAGACTGTCAGATGGGTATGAAGCGCAAACCGGTCCACCCACTCGAAACGCAGGAGCAGCATCTGTAGAAACCAGGAACATCTTAAAGAGCGTCCACATGTCAGGTGGTACAGTCGCTTTAATGGCACCAAAGGTCTAGTGGGTGCGATGGAGCGTGATGCACTGACATATTGACATGCAATACAGGCCTTTATGAGCTTGTTTGCAGAGGGAGGTCTGGAGCCCTCTGTTTATGCACTCTGCTGCCCTTTAGCAAGGCACTGAGTCTCAGGTGTGGTGAGGTGGAGATTAGGTTGATGGTGGGAAAAAGATGTGAAAAAGTCATAAAGTGTTACCTGGACTGTCAAACAGAAGCTTCTAATGTGCACCAATGGCTGCTCTCAGATGTGACAGTAGAACATCACTGCATTAGGGGGAGGACATCAAACACAGCAGAATGATATGATACTTTAACTCCACCAGCTAACAACTCTTCCAGCACTTAAATCAAATTACACTATGCATGTTAATCAAGCAGATTGAATTAGAGGCATTTCATTAAGTGAGTCATGGAACGATACATTTTCCTTACACAACAATTGCTTAATTTATCCTCTTACTTAGAATCCATCATGGTTTTCTTTTTATCATTTGCTTCTCCATATAGAAGTACTCTTCTTAAATAGATTATAGAAATGACAGCCTCTTCAGTGTTGCCAGGGGCTAGGTTGGCACATTTATGTTATCTTTCACATGTTTCTAAACAGTCATATCCCTGTTTCTGAGAGAGATTGTCACAAAGAGAAATGCAAGGCTATTAATTCCGGTCGCTCCCTCTTCCGCTCTGTCCTTTGTGTGACCTGAAATCCCCAGATGTTTCTGTAAGTGAAGGAGTTAGTTAACATGTTGGACTGTTTCCGACTCCTTTATCATATCCCTCACCCTGAGAAAGCCCCAATGTGCTCCTACAACATTTAACAGGATGATTTTTAGACATCCCTGAGAAGGTGCTGCATCTCGAAAGGACGGTTGGGTCCTTTTTAAAATAATTGTGTATGCTTTTCTTTTCTTTTTAATGCCACAGACGGCCTTCCCAGCAGGCCCCTGAGAAAAGGGCCAACTCCAGCTGACTGGAGGAAGGGCTGATTTGTATTTTAGTCCTCAGGACACGCTCTGAGGCAGTCCAATCTTTAGTGCATTGGGACTGACTCTGCCTGCCCTTCTCCTTCTGTGGGCGGCAAACCATGAGAGGGCAGAGGGAGAGAGAGAGAGAGAGAGAGAGAGAGAGAGAGAGAGAGAGAGAGAGAGAGAGAGAGAGAGAGAGAGAGAGAGAGAGCGAGAGAGAGAGAGAGAGAGAGAGGTAATTTGATTCAGACACCAAGCTGGCTCCAACTGTGTGTGTGTTCATGTGTGTGTATGAGCCTTAGCACATCCATGAGGTGATGTGTACGGTATGTGGGTGTTTGTACTACACATTGGTCAGGAAGGAGGGTGCTCAGAGGAATGGAGGCTGGTAGATGAAAGTTGTGTGTCATGAGTAGTGGTGAGATGCCGCATGCACAGTATGTGTGTGTGTGTGTGTGTGTGTGTGTGTGTGTGTGTGTGTGTGTGTGTGTGTGTGTGTGTGTGTGGTGTGTGTGTGTGTGTGTGTGTGTGTGTGTGTGTGTGTGTAGAGGTATTTATGAGTGGGCTGTGCCCAGGTTAGTGTCTGACCCGTAGCTCGTATGGATTGCAATAACCCTTATTTAATCTGTTTTCATATCAGCGAGAGGCCACAGGGATTTCCGTTGTGTTTATATTATTTTCATTATTTTCACATAACACAACTGTATATCCTGCCTCCTTACTTACGTCCGAATAAAGGATGCTTCGAGCTGAATGCCTCATCTCCTCGCTTGATTTATCAAGCTTTATGAACATCTAGCTCAAGGCTACATTGACTCAAGCCTATGCACAGCAGTGCTATGTACATCTGCTCTCAGTACCACTCTCAATCTCTGGAAATACATTTCACCAATCCCTAAATGTTAAAGAAGACAGAATCAGGAGTTACCCCCTTAATCCTGCTTAGATTTACAAAGGCCCATATTACTAAACAAGTATTGTCACAAATTGTCCCAAATGGAGGCTGATTACCCTCTTGCTGTGATTTCTTTATGGAAAGATGTGAATTCTGGATATAATTTCAACATTTTAAGATTATTTCAACAAGTTTTTGCAATTTTCATGACAAATTTTGATCGGTCAAATGTATTTGCTAAGGAACATGAAGTGACTTTGTTGTTGGAGAGTGGAAAAAGTCATTTGTCTTTGATTAGTTTGGTGCTGATCGACCTAGCGGTGACCTTTTTGTCTCGAGCAAGCAGACCGTTCAATCACAGAAGAGTTGATCAAGACCTCATCTGGAGGTTCAAAAGATCAGTCAGCCAGAGAGATGCTGGTGAAATTGTTTGGGACAAAGTTCATAGAAAAACAGATTGCAGCGTGTTACTGTAATTGATACACTTGTTTTTGAAAATGAAGCACTCCTAACAGTCCCCAATGAAGGGTTGGATAGCATACAACAGGGACTCTGGGTGTGGTTTAGCACAATTGTTGGAGGAATCATTGTCTGGGACTGTTTTCACTTGTCTATTTCTGTCTCTGTTGGATCCCACAAAATGGCAGTCTTAGTGGCAATCAGCTCCCCCCTCAAAAATTGTCAGTCTACCTCCTCTTCCCACCCCCGATGTCTTTTGTTCGACCGACTTGTCACTCCTTTTGTCAGAGGATGTTAATATGAGCGTATCAGTCATCAGGTCCCATGCCTAATACGCTCTGGGGAAGTTACAAAAATGACTGACTGACACCGAACGAGTAGCGGCTCTTCCCGTTATTCTGTTGCTATGGTTACTTGTTTTTTTGCATTTGTAGAATCTATTTCATTTACCCAAAAAAGGCAAAGCCTACAGGCACTTGATGGGCTTGACTGTATAATTTGTCAGTATCAGATCCCTCTGGATGTGCAATATGACTTGTATGTCTATAAGGGGAGAAGGTGAATATTAATATCCCTCTGCTGTAGATCTGCTGTCTGTCAATAGAGTTTAATAACAGCACAAAGCAGGTTTCCTGTTCAGTACCCTGAAACAATCTCCAACTAAAGCTTCCCTCTCTCCCTGACCTATCGCTTCATGCATTCTTTACACCTTTTTTCCCCCCAAGCTGGGATTGACTGCTGATTTGTAAGCCGGAGCTGCTCTTATGCCCGCCTGTCTGGCCGGCTCCATTCATAATTTAGTTCATAATGAAGTACATCTCCAGTTAATTAACACAACAGCTGTATTGTGTTGTTGATCATACAGTTACATTCATACACGCTGAGAGTATTCAGGATTTACCCCTACAAATGTGCTTTATTAGCGTTAAGTAATAGACCTCTTATCTCATTTGGAGCCATCTGTTTCAGCTACAGATTGCGATCTTCTGTGAATACATTGTGCTTTTCTCACTACTCTCGGCACCAATTAGTATCTGGAGACAGTTCATGTCCTAGAATGGTGCTCGCTATCGGTTGGCTCAGGCAGAGCTCAGCCACCTCAGGTAAAATCCCTCTGAGATCTTTTAGCAATGACAGAAAACAGGTTGTTTGCCCGAAGGGATGTGTGCAGCTCTCATCCAAGGTCCCTCTTTGTGTTTGTTCTCATCACTTTTTCTCATTGGACTCTTAAAGACTCTCCCTTAGAAATGCAGTCTTCCGCTAACCACATTAAACTGTCAGTCAGCTTCGTGAATCAGCTGGAAACCTTGGCATCTTTATGTTTTAATTGCTTTTCACACTGAATTGTATTGAAGTGGTGATACACTAGTCATTTGTTGTTTTGTTTTTGACAAGTGTGGATTGGCAAGGATCCCAGGGAGAAGAAACAAACTGAGCCATGGCATCAACAATCCAAGTTGCACAACGTGTCCACCTGTTACCAACAGATATCTCCTAGTTTGGTGCAACTATAAGTCTGCTTACTTTTGTCTTAAACAGCACCCAGTCTTTTCTCCTCTTACTTTGTCATGCTCATTAAAACAAAATCAAACTCTCTGCCACAGTTTATTTAGCTGCAGTTTCCTCTCAAGATATCCAGTGTGATTGCAGGAAGCCTCATGCTGGCCTTTTCTAAAAAAACTCATCTGATCTAATAATATTGTTTGAATCAAGCTTTTGTCCGTGAAAATTATAGCCTTTGATTTTTGCATTTCTCTTTTTTTTTATATCCTCTCAGTGCTTCATCTCACCCCAGTGTAAATGAGTTACATTGATTGCATCTCTATTTCTGTGCTCCGCTTTGTCTCTCTATTGTGTGTCCCATCTCGCTGGTTCCCTGAAGCTTCCCAGATTCTCTCTGATAGATAGCCTTGTTTTTGCTTACAGCGGCATTAAGCACACAGTTTCTCTGTCATGAATCTATCTATCATTTCTTCCCACTCTCCCTCTCTTGTCCACTGAGATCATCAGCTGCTTGCAGAGTCTCTCCCTCCTCGAAGCCATTTCTGAATCTCAAACCTTCAAATCCCCAGTGGTGGATTGTACTGCCCACCACTGACAGTTTCCAGTGCCTCATCTCTTTCTATATTATGGTCCTTAAAGGTATTTTACAGTGATGTAATCTTCATTCTTTATGCTCCTGAGGTTGCTTGAAATGTCCCAGACTTCAAGGGCAGAGCAGACACCAAAACCTTCATCATGTGGTTAGCAATCTGCTGCCATTAACAAGTGAGTTCAAACAGACCTGTGCATTAAAGAGCAAACCTATTTGAAGGAAAGACTGTTAACAAT